AAGTGTTTTAATTTTAATGAAAAATATACTTGTTCTGTTATCAACTTATAAATTAATTAAAGTCATTCATAATTAATGAAACGAGATAAAGTTTTGTACAATAAATTGGCCAAGAAAGTATTGTTATTATTGATTGTACGCGTTACTGGTTATGTCCTTACTGGGGCGTAATTATTCTCTTATTTCCATTTGTCATAGTATATTATATTACTGGAAGAGTGTAATAAGCTATAAATTATATTGATACTGACCACGACACTTGAACGATTATTAGGAAGCTGAGGAATGACGTCATTGTTATAAATATCTTGATATGAACAGATTTAACACTTACGGTTTATCTTTAGAGCCCAAAATTTTATATTTAACTGACTTGCGTCATATATTAATAAAAGATAATGTACCTAGGATTAGGAAAAAGATGATTCTACAACAAAATTATGTTTGTTTCATCTCAGTTGACCTTAAATAACTTATTATCAATACTGCAAAAGCTTATACGATATTTCTATTGTTTATTCCAATAATAATATATTTGGATCTGAATATGCAATGTTATTTTTTATATTATGTAGGGGAAACTGTAAATACTGTCCAAATTAATACCACTTGCCTATTTCTGAACTGAACTGATTTTTCAGAATTAATGAGATAATTGTAGTGGTGAATTCCATAGATTATAAAGTTGGTTAAATATGTAAGAAAGAATAAAAGGTATGAGACCAGAGTTTTTTTAAGATTTATGGACGTGTATACAAATAATATTAAAATAACTCACATTTAAATAATAATTAATCAATTGCTTCACGAATATGAATCATTTACAAAACAACTCTGTGATATGTGAATGAGGATAAAATGATGTTTACAGTACATATGTATTAAACTAAAATAAAACAAGTCTAACACATGCTGAATTTCAATGTTTAAATATCTTTAAATGTAAACAACAAAAGTTCGACTGGATATTGTGCAAATATGTTGCAATTTTTGGCACGCTGTAGCTATTTCGTGTATTTCCGTGAGTTCCTTGTGGCTAAGATTTATTATGTTGCATTATTTTTGACTCTCATTCTATAAATATTACATTTTATATATGTTCTTTTGTATTTTTTTATATTTTCTATGCAAATATGCTTTGACGGGATGCATAATAATCAACTTGTCACGTGTCTAACTATCTTATTTGAATATTAATTGTTTCAGCTCTGTTATACTTCACCGTACAATGCATTGACTAAATAATTTACTTATTCATTATAATAAATTAAAAAATTATTATTTACCTACGTCTAAACAATATTGCCATCTTTTTTAAATATTTTTTTATATGGAATAAAGCTGATATTTAATTGATTTGAAACGAATAAAGTTTACATGTTATATTTATATAATTATTGTGATTTTTTTACAGTTTAAGTGGCATAGATTTTAAATCATTCAAATTTATTAATTACTTATCGATTAATTCGCCTAGAGAAAAATCGATACGTCCAAAAATTACGTATTTTTTTAATTCGATCGCATCAACAACATGAATGGCGAATTCTTCTGCCCACTTACTGGCCTGAATGATTTCGACATTCTTGGCTCAGCTCGGATAATCTGAGAGAAAAAAAAATATAACTCCCCGCAACGTAAATAAGTCCACTCCCAGTTTGAAAGTGCTCACAGTGGCACGGTAAATAAATCACGACGGCCTCACGCCGGGTATAGCGTATTTTTACGCAACCCAAGCTCTTTGTTTATATATAGTTAATGATGCTGGCACAGACGGCTGGTTATTCAACCGGGCACATTCCGCGACGGCTCCACTTTTTGCTCGCCCGTCCGTCCTCCGTCCATAGAAAAACAAGCAATTAGAGCTTTTAGGGCCGGAATTACCGTCCGCTTTTACGCCGCGCCGTTCAGCTAAAACATCTCGCATACTCGAATACAACTACACGTCGGATTCCAGAAACGTTCCTGTTTTGTTTTTTAAGGAAAAGCTTTCAATCTTGGCTATGCTTTTAGACACAGAGATACAAGTCTCGCGTGTACTTTTATTTATCTCTAGACGGTCGTACCTTTTCATCGGAATGATGTACACAAACGGATTTAAGTCTCGCCTTATGTAACAGAGGCGCCAGTGAGACTTAATATTTTTCGATGGCTATCGATTACCTAATACGGAAAAATCTTCAATATTAAATTTAATATCTTACAAGGTTTAAACTTCGTCGTTTGACAAATATTTTACTTGATACTTAACTAGTGGAATCCAAAAGGCAATATTTATGATTATGAAAGTAAATTTCAAAAGTAAGTTATTAATTGATGTGTTTTGTTAAAGCTAAATTATTATACAAGGAACATTTTCCTATAAAAGATCCTGTGAAAGTGGAGTCAAGACGATTCTATAGAATTGCTATCGTTTATGGATACTTACTTAAACAACTACAGAACCTATTTCCATTTGTGTCGATTAAAAATAATACAGAAGTTACAATCGCTCCTACATTACTTGTATCGGTTTAATCTTGGGTCGTCTGACGGACAATGTAGGGGCAATAAAAATAAAAAAGGTTACTTTTACGAGCACACGAGACTGATAAAACTGATCACGGAACAAGCATAACAAAAAGATCTCACCGGTCCCGTGGCGGGCCATCAATATTATTCAACTTTTTTTCACATTATCGCTATCAAATTACACGTAGGAATGCGTAGTAACTTTACCGTGAAGTAGCCAAACCTACGTGTCAGATTACTGTTTAAAATTCCATTGAAACTGTTTTTTATTATTTTTTTTTAATGATGACTTCAAAATGAGAGTTTCTAGGACTTAATTATCCAGCCAGTTTTATATTTTAGTTTAAAACAGGTTTTATATTATTACATACATATAGATATTACGTTAATATTGTAGGTCCTTCTTTGTACCTTATTTTTTTTTATCCTACCCACATAACAAAAACTAAAATGCTTATCTTCGTCTATATTATATTTGATTTAGCACCTACTTCTATAATAGCTCTTCAAAAATTTGTGTTTGGGGAAGCCTTACCTTTTTTTTTCGAACAAAAAAAAATGTGTACCTGAATTCAAGTTTGGCGACTCCGAACCTGTTCTGGCGGTGTTACTACGAAATTACGTTAGGAAAAAAATATCAATAGCCACGGTATGGCGCTAAGCAAGAAAAAGTATTGGTGTATGACACTCTATTGTATTTTTAAGTGCCCGTAGATAACTCATACCGGCGCTTACTTTTGGAGATTACCTACCTGTGGCCTGATATACGAACAATCAGCTATTGTCAGTCACTGCTCGCTTGGGGGTGAACATTTACCCCATATAATGAACATTAGTTTAACCGTAAATTTTGTATGAGAGCAAATATCCTTAGATATATTATTTAATTTCATAATTAGGAAAGAAAATATTGTATAAAATTATACTACATTAAATAAATGTATGTATATAGATAAGTTTTTGATAGGAATTTTACCTGTGTTACTATTTATTTTTTCGATAACTATAAATATCCAAAATTTTATTTAAACAATGTATCAAAGAAGATTTAATGTTCCCAAATTGTTACCAATAAAAATTTTGTTTTGTCTTCGATCCCATGTAAATAAGTAGATAATAGAATATAAGTAGATTTCTTCATTCTAAGCGTTAATTAAAACTAAAGTTATCTATCTGCTACTCTACAAAATATTAAATTCCATCCATATCGTTTAATTGCTGTTATGACTCAGTATCAAACAGATAAAACGCACTCCCTTAATTCAGTACACATAATATAGTAGGTCATACAAAATTAATTTACTATAATATTTCACATGCAAAACTATTCTCACAGTAAAATCATTAGGCGTGGTTCACAAAGCACAATGGGACATATTGGAACCATGTGTGCAAATCTTCGATTGTCACGTTTCGTCCAGATTGTATTAAAAAAAATAAACGTCAAAGGACCGAGATCGACTTTGGCACTTCATCAAATATAAATTTATTTTCGGACAATACAAAAACCCAACCTGTTCGTCCTTTGTCACTTCCACAGAATAGATAAAAAAAACGTAACGTATTGTGCGTAGAAATACAACCTGAATTATTGTTTATAAGTTTCTCTTTTGTGTTTCGAGTGGTCTTCTGAATCGATTTTTTGTGTTGCACGTAATCCCTACTCTACTACAAGTGTAACATAAGCTTGCTATTCCATGACAATATCTAAAGATCTTTTAAATGCAGTTAAATGAGCCGCTACCCATTGTTTCACGGCATTAAGATTTTGTACTATTAAATAGATAATGTTACTATATTGTACTATTTTTATCTACATATTTTCTACTTAAAATAAGAATGAATTTATTCTAGATACCGTGATTTCCGTGATTGAAAAAGAATAAATAGTAAAAAAAATGTTTTTTTTTTACTAGATAATATTTATACAAAAATATATGATAGTTACATAATTATTTTAACAAGGAATTTAAAAGGAAAAAGTGAAAGAGTCAACTTTTTCGTATTAAAATATTAAACTCTCATGCTTAGTAACTGAATTATAAAAAAGGCAAATAGTCCAAGAGTAAAGCAACATTTGTTCAATATTGAAGCTGTTATTAAAATTTAAAACGTTAACAAAATGTTATTCAACCGCCATCTACATTTAGGAACTAGAGTTACAACGTTAATAACACAAACATATTTAGCAAATAGTTTTTCAACGCAGCGTCAGATGGCGCTAAAATTAATTATTAAGTGAAGAAGTGCTTTGTATATATAATATATTAAAACAAATACTTTTAATAAAAAGGTTTTATACATTGCAATGAGCTTTATATAATAAAGCAACTAAACGCAGTTGTCAATACTCTATCATATCAATGTCCAATATGTCATAGTTTATAACGTATATTTGTGAGGAGTTTAATATTATTTACAGAAAAAAACTCATAATGATTTATATAACATTCGTCTTATAGCAGTATGGAGTATATGTAGATATTAATATGAATTTCCATAAGAGCTGTTACACGTCACGCAGTGCTGGTTATAAATATCGGACACTCTCAACTAACACAGGCGAAAGGAAACGTAGGCACAGCAAGGAAGAAACCACATTCGATAGAAAGTTCAAAGATTTAAAAAATGAAATATCATCGAGGATATTGAACGAGGTGATCAAATCACAAGACGCGAGGAGATCGATACAGGAGAGATTTGAAAAAATCGACGCCAAAATAAATTCGATGGTCGACGTACAGAATTCTATTATTGAAATGAGAAAAAACCTGCAGGTGGTGGAAAATCAGCTAATGGAAATGACTGAAAAAGTGGAATTGATGGAAAAACAGGTCGGATTAAGCGAGAACTGCAGCCTGCACTCTCGTAAGAGCTCTTATTCTAAATCTCGACCAATTTTTAACACAATCGTTGAATCCAGTACTTTGGCGAATTAAAAATATGCTCTAATGAAAATATTATATTAATTCACTCATAACGAATTTTAATAAAATTATTTTCTCAATTATATCATATACTTTCTTTTGAAATAGACGTAATATATAAATATTAGTCCTTTTTATTTCTAGGACTTATTTTTTAATAGAGATCATGGAATAATAATAAACATACAGCCACAATCATTCATAAAATACTCTTTGGATTCGCATAACAAGGAATATAATAAAAAGTAGCCAGATTCACATAAATGAACAATTATTTTATTCGATATCAGATTTCAATTTACATAAATGTTGTTCAAAACATCGATACATCTACAATAAATGATAGATGAGATATATTGAATTATATGTATATATTAATAGAATCGTTTAAAACGACAGATAATCTATAAAATAAAGATAATTAATAGAAGTAATGAAGTTAAGAATAGGTATCTAACCTCAAACTATTTGATCGTGGTCAATAGGTTATAAAAAATTTACGAAATTCCCAAATACAATGTATAAAATATAAATAATTAAAAACATTTAGAAACATCAGTACGATACGAGTTTTAAGTTTGAACATTTTTATGAAAATACATTTATTATATCTTTATAAAGAATTTTATTGGAAATCTTCATACGTATTAACTATGGGACTGTACATTATTTATAGAAAATTATCTTAATTATATGGCACAGTCTAAGAAGCTGTTGGAATAAGCTGAACAAATAATTGCGATTACGAGATGGCTCAGGCAGTGTTGTTCTATGAACAATAAAATTAAAACGATACACAATAGATATGTAACACAAACATTAAAACAAATGTGTACTTAAATTAAGACTAGTATAGAATTAACACAACTACTACAGTTATAATAATTAATATTTGAACTAATTTAAATGCTAAACTGTGGTACACCACATTAACGATCATCTATCATTTTATAAACACACAGTATCTACCTGGCAATTTCCCAGCTTTAGCCAGGGTCTGCCTTATGTTGTGAATAGTTTTGGCTAATGGTTTTTACGATCGGCCGCCTGCCTGACATCAACCCTCTTTGGGAAACGCAGTATATAAAACATACACATTAATATCTAATAGCAACGTAATATATTTAATGAATATTTTCTTGCAAAAGAATTTTCTAGCAAACATATATTATCTAAACACTTTGTGCGCCAATTTCAATGCTATGCTCATTATTTTTAATATAAATTGGAATTTACTATAGATTTTGGGCTTCAAATGCTGAAATTAATTAATATTTACTAAACACTGAATACTAAACAGCTGAGCTGCGACGAAATATTAAAAATTAAAGCTACTTAATATAAATTACTTAATTTTAAACATGCTACATTAGTAGTCATGTAACAGTACTCACTGTCGATTTTTGTTCATATCCTAAATTCATTTAAAATCTTTGCCACATTCTATTTCCACACATATAGAACATAAAACTTTGTTTTTTTTTACATTATATAATAAATGCAATATTATATCTTAATTATCACATATAACATCGAAGATTTCGGATACATTAGTCGAATAGACAGACGAAAGCGTGAATGAGACCGTGGAAGCAGTCTGAGCAGCAGTTGCTTTTGGACGTTCTCCGACTGTCTTCTGGTTCGAAGCAAGGCTGTTTCAGTTTCTTTGGTCGTCTCCCACAGAGTTTACTTGGTTTGGGCTCTTCGGTCGGCTCGGATCTTGGACTCAAGCAAACTGGAGCAGCTGCGGGTTCGGAAGGTCTTGGATGCGCCCAGCGACGTAACATCGCCTCTTGCTCCGCTCCTACAGGCACGGGAGCTGAAAGTTTCCTCGCTCGAGCCAGTACTAAAGCCCGCTCGATTGGTTCTAATAGTTCCAGAGCCAAAGCTCTATCTAATTCTTCACCAGCGAGTAAAAGGTAACGTGGACAGTACGCTAGTTCACCAAGCGCAGCACGTTTATTGCTCGGAGTGAGCTCTCTCTTAGTGCGTTTACAAGCTGCTATACTCCATCGAGACAGCGCCTCCGCTAAAACTAGCTCGCTAGAAACACGCAGCGTGTCCCGCTTCACAATCAGCGCAAGATCTTCGTACGTTAAATCTTCGAGTTTCTCATGAGTGAGGGCAGCGTCAGCGTTATCATCGATCACGAGCAACGCGTTATGAGCCAATGAATCGCACCACATAGCGCAATGTGACAGAGTCCTGGCAGCAGCGTCATTTTCCAACGCTGGCAGAGGAGGCGCCGAAGCTGCTCCGGGTAGCCTCGCGCATAAATATCTCAAATCACGCAATATCTCAAGCGCGACCTCCGCGTCTAACATTTCATCCAGCCGTTTCGCACAGCGCTCAGCAAGTTGCGGGCACAGAAATTTATAGGCAGCATTGAGAGTGGCTCTGGCAGTGAACACAGAAGTCAACTGTGTGGGTTCACAGTAGTGGTAACGAAGGAGCTGTTCAAAGCCTCGTCTATCGATATAATCCACAACAATAACGTCAGCTTTGGTTGAAAGTAACGCAGCGAATACAGGACTAGTTGCTGCAAGGACACGGCGATGACCGGGAAAACGGAATGTGTCTCCATTGATACCCGCCACAAACACTATGTCGCTTTGCTTCTCATTATCATACAGCCGGGAGTTCTCATCTATCCTCAACTCTCCGTATTGCCCGTACTCATGAGTGCCAATCGCTTGGACGCCAGAAGTAGACGCTTGAGAGATCTGCCCCTCAAGACAGATGTCGGTGCACGCTGGATTAGTAACGATCGTCATTGTGAATGTTTGTTAACCCTGAAACAATATAACATACATTAAATCTATTTGACGAGTATAACACGAGTAACAATTACACCGCATATCACTGCTAATTAGTTTTCTTAGCACCCTCTTTACCTCTGTAAGGATATCAGTGCCATATAAAGAATAATTATAACCTCTGTTCTTACTATAAGTGTTAAACAGACACTCAAGGGGAGTTATACGTTTGTAAATAGTCTATACAATCCTTTTAAAGCCATAATAACTTCCGTGGTCACGTTTTATATGTAATTTACTTATAAATACATAGTAAATTTATATATTATAACGAGTAAGTACACAATTTCAGACTTTGTAGTAATTATTGGAGTTATTTTAGCCTAAAAATATGTATATCTACCAAATTTTAAAATGAAAATTAAATTAAGTTCAATGTTAATCTGTCTCTATAGTACTTTTCGTTTTTTATACTCGTATCAAAGAATTCAAGAGTACGTTTTACGTCAGGCCTTGCTTACTTTGATCATCGATGCGTCACATAACAATCTCTGTATGCATCAACAAAATTATTCGCAGAACTCACAAACACGCTCGCTTTGTAAGAACTAACTTTGGATACAAGAGGAGGGATTTATAAAAGCATAACATATTAATACAATATTTAAATTTAAACATTACTAAATGTAATATTAAAAAAATAAATTTAATTATTTTAATAAATATCCTTAATATGATATTGGCGTTTTTCATATTATTTCTATCTCAAATATCTCCTTTATTGGTAAGGAATTGCAATATCAAAATACAGCTATCTACTTATGCATTTGTTTTCCAAATACCGTAATCCATATGTTTTTTCAATGTCTGTTTTTTTCTTAGATTCAATCAGATTATAAAATTGAAAACATATGTACATTGATACTTTAAATTATTCATTAAAACGACTTAAGGTATAATTTTATAAATAAAATGGCAAGTTGATTTAACTAGATAAAAAAAAACTTTTTTTCGGATATGTATTTCAAATGAAACTAAGCTTGTCCCATAACTACGCGAAATATTTGTTTCGTTCTAAAAATGAAAGTCTTCTAAAGAGCGATATAAATATAAGCGTATACGTTATTACTTATTATTTTAGATCATAATATTTCTTTAACAGAAATATATAATTTGGTTTTGTTTGTTTCTCTTTCATGGAAAAATTGCTGAACCCGTTTAGACAAAACTTTGCAGTGATGTAGCTTAGACATAAAAATAATATATTATAGGCTGCAAATAATCCCGATATACATTGTATTTTACTTGGGTTAAGGACATAGTCATTGTTTTTGTTTGAAGTAAGAGACACAGACTATACTTTAGGTATTCGCTAACTCTAACTTTAGGTATTCGCTACATTTAGTTCCCAAAATATTTGCAATATCAAAAAACTATCAACATCATCAGCCTATCAGAGCCCACTGCTGAGCAAAATCCACTTCTCACATGGAGAGTATTTGAGCATTAATAATCACCAGAAAAAAATAATACTAAATAAAATTTAAAATATAAAAAGGTATGTATGGCAAGTTTATAAGAAAATACATATATTAGACAATCTTTTCATTATCTGTTAAAAGATATATTATGCAGAAACATTTCCGGATCCGAAACAATCTAATAATTATTTAATTTTAATTTATAGCCTCTATCCGTGGAACAATCATTTAATCTTTCATTATATGAGCTATTTATTACATAAGGCTACCAAGGAGGTTAGTATAAATCTGAAGTATCAATGCATTAAATGTTTCAATATATTTATAGTCTATAAAAGAATTCGTGTCGAAATGCGACACTACAATAGGGATGGTAAGCTGAAAATCGAGTCTTGGTTCCGATTCTTTTTTCAGAAATTTCAATAATCGATTTTTTTTTAGTAAAAACTTTATAAAATTTCTTAATATTAAGAAAATAAAAACTAGTTTAATAAGGTAAAAGGTACAATAAAGAGCAAATTTTAAAAATATTACATTGATGCTATCGTGTCGTTATTCCAGCATTAAAATGAATTATAGAATCAATTCAAATAATCGAGTTTTTATGACACAGATTTTGCTTTCCCTACACTAGAAGCTGATGGCTCCTGCCGACCTATATACATTCGCATAGCTTGGTCTGGAATTACCCTATATTTAAAGAACGAATCTCAGCGGGCTTACGAAATTGCACGCTGCTCTTATAACTGTAACATTATATGTAGGTAGGTACCTTTTATATTTATAAATACATACAGTAATCGTATTTCGTCGCTGTCTTTTAATATATTAAATATTATTCTAAATAAAGATCCTTATGATTTTATGTACCTTATTGTAGTTAGAATCTACAAGAAACAATAAAATATTTTGTTACTACGAAACGTAATTTTCATTCATGACTTAATGTTTTGTGAGTTGTAAATTTTTTCTACCAATCTAAAACTCGGCCAAGGTCGTATCACAAACAGCTTTTTACGGCTTCCTCATTATCAATGGATCTTTAAATTAATATAATAATTCGATTATACATTTTCTTCCCATATTTGTTTAGGAATATATCTTTGCTGAAATAATTCGCTTTTAAATATTTTTCTACTATGTTGAATACCTAATATTGCAGTGACAGACGTTTAATGGCGGGAAAACTCAAGAATTATTTTAATTATTTCCAATGTTATTGGAATATTAACTCCTTCATTATTGAATTAAACAAAGATTCATTAAAAGAGATGTTAAATCATGTACAGAATAAAACTCACGATGCGTGTATCCCGGGTTAAGCAATCAGATGCAACCTCGTTTAAATCAAGGCGGTCACTACTTAATAACTACTAAGTAAAAAAAATAACACAGGATGTATAAAAAATTAATAACAATAATATGAAATACGTCAAATCATTTTTATTCCACCCTGTATAAGTGTTTAATCAATTATTCCAAGAAATGACCGCAGACTTGACAGAACAAGCCCGATATTGTATCTGTACTTTAACAATTGAAGCTATTCTGTGACTGCGGTTACTCATTAACAAACACCGCCGACCGATAAACTGAAATAATATAAACTTTTAATTAACAGTGGATTTGTTCACAAAAAATGACACACCGAATATAATAGAACATTATGTTACATGACAAATTTATAGCGAAATATTTGACTAATAAACCGACTAAACAGTGGGGTATTTTTGAGCAGCAATAGTTTATAAATGTGTCTTAATATTTCATCATATTATTAATATTTATGTTATATTAATTTTTATTTTGTCATATATGATCGTCAAATATCACGTCCTCAAATATCGATAGTAATTCACCAGTCACCCTGTATATGTATATGAATGAAGTAGTAAAGGTTTTGCTATAACAAATTTCATTCTAATGATAGTCAACTGGCTTTTGCCCGCGACTTCGTCCGCGTGAACATCAGAGTTGTTTTCTACTACTACGGTCACTGAAACCAAACTGCATTTTATGATTGATTTTTTTCAGGATCGAAAACGGAATGAAATATTTTATAGGCTGATTATCATTTGAATTAAGGGTACGTAACTCGATACAAAAATGTACTGCGCAATTTAACCATCGTAATTTCCTTCTCTATATCCTTCTCCAAGGTCCCATATATCTCTATACCAATATTTATCAAAATCAGTTCAGCGGTTTAGGTGTGAAAACGTAACATACGTAACAAACGTAAACGTCACAAACTGACAGAAGGACAGACAAACATAGTTACTTTCGCATTTATAATGTTACAGTAGGTATTAAAAGAATGGTAACATCAATTTACTTCCATAACTATAAATATAAAAATAGTTTTTTCTATACATTTATTTACTTACACATTAAAAATATACTAAGCATATTTAGATAAAACAAATAAAATATTGGAAATGCTTTCTTCGTGCAGAGTATTGTTTGACATTTAACAAATTAAATAATGAATTAAATTAAAATATAATCTATTTCCATAAATTATTATCGTCAGATTTATAAAATGGTAACATCAAAATTGAAACATAAATGAATCACCAAACACATCGGAGTGCAAATGCTTTTGTTGTCATTTGTGTGGTTAAATCAGAAACGGCTTAGTGTCGGAAATAGAACTGCGACACGCGGAAATGAACGCTTCAGCAAATTATCTGACTACTCTCGTATTAAGGAATCACTTTTCCTGTAGATTATACTAATTAATCTTGTATTTTTAAGCTATAGACAGAATATATCATATACTACATAAAAAATAAATTAGATTATTAAAATACAAATTAATTATTTCAATACTAACTAAATTATCAGCTTATTCAAGTTATGATTCTTTTGTTAAGTTGAAAATATTTTTAAAGTCCATTCAGTGAGACATAAACAGTATTAATGCACTCATTGTACAAAAGTATCTATTCCTCGTTTTCCTTTAAATAAGAATAATTTATGCAATATTGTGTAAAATACAATATATTTCAAAACATAATTAGTCATAACCACAAACTTAAAATAACATGCATCTGTGGCTTCCTTTAAGAATACATATATTGCAACTGTACTCTTGGCAGTTATATTTTTTAAATATCGACAATCAAATCTATTCTGCCGATATCGTAAAATACAGATCTAAAAAGGAATAAATAATTTAATTACTAATATGATAATAAAAAAAAATTCAAAATTAACTAACTTTTGTATAACATTTGTGTGTATTTATCAAGTTACTGAACAAACCAATGAGAGGAACAATTACCACACATCTTTTCAGCTTTACAAATATTTGTCACAGCGCTATGTAAATTTCGTAAGAATTCCTTATAAAGAAATACGACATTGGAAGCTAATAGGTTATTTATTAACTTTATTTGTTTCGTCTTATTTGTCTGTATATTTTAAGCAGAAGCCTTTATTGGTAGGAAAAAAAATATAACCTTATATGACATTAAGTTGTCAAATTCAAATTTTATTAAACTTGTCAAGTTTCTTGCCAAACTTACATACGAT